GCAGGGTATTGAAAGGCAAAATAATCCCCAAAGAAAACTTCAGATTTACCACTATTTGATCATTATCACCATTACACATGTAGGTTCACTGGTTGTTTTGGATAGTAAATAAAATGTCCATATTTGTGCTTCAGGTCAGACAATCAGAGTCTGTAAGTATCTCTACGGTCAACCATTTCACATCAAACCACTTTGAATGACTTTGTTTACATCTCAATGACTGAATTATGCAGCAGGCTGGAAAAATCAATGGAATTCTCCATTAAAAGTAAAGCTGCCAGAAAATTTCTTTGGAGTGATGCCACTGAAAAAAACTTTTGGCTTCCTAAGAACCTTTCACACTTAAAAATAATGGTTCATTTCAAATGTGAAGACCTCCAATAAGTTTAAATGTACTACACCAATTAAAGGAGCCGTACACCCAATAATCATTTAGGAATCTTTTTCAAAGGAGTGTAGGTGTGTTTAAACAGGGCAAAAACAAACTGTGCTGGACTCTGCCCCCTGTTCTAAACCCAAAACATGTGCTGAGACTGTTGCCTAACATCAAAGGCTGTATGCAGATTCTTTTACTAGTTGCCTGAAAAAAGTGAAGCTCTCTCAGCAGTTCTCGGCCTGCTTCTGACTCTTGAGTAACTCTGCCTGCAGTTGAGCGACTTTCTCTCTGAGCAACCAGAGCTCCAGCTCACTGTGCCTGTAACCCACTCGCATGGCCCCCAAGGACTTGCCCTGCATGTTCATCATCTGAGGGAGAGCTGTGGATTAGTAAACATGACCATTCTGTACAATATGTGTTCTCCCAGAACACCAGAGCACTGTGGCTTTGGTGCAAGGGAATCTCTGTTGGCACTATTGCATCTTTTCCCCAGTGTCAAACGAACACAGCAGTGTTTTTCAAGCTCCAGTCCTGCTGTCCACCCAGGGGCATCGGACCACAGGTAATGATGGACCTGGCTAACAAGGGCCCTCCGTGAAAAGGGCCCCCCCCAGAAACCCCAGAAAAAAATTGATTTTGGTTCCTAAGTTGACACCCTATGTTATAAAAATAAATGACACTAGACTGCATTTTCCATGATCAACTTTCAAGTTCTGCTTATCCACCTGTTGTTTCTGTAATCCTCCTCACTGCTGTGCCCGTGGCCCACACTGGACAGTTGTGTGTATTTCCTGCTTTATAATCTTAAAGGTATATAAAAACTAATAAAGGTGTCAATGCTGGAATCTAAGCATTATGAGCAATGCTGGAGAACCTTTCCCTGTAGATGCACTCTAAAAAGTGATGTGTTAAATAACAACACACTTACCTGTGTTAAATAACAACACACTTACTTGTGTCATATTGTTTTCTGATCTAACACATTATGTGTTAAAAGTAACACAATGTGTGTTATCTGTAAGTGGGAGCAGAAATATTTCAACATATTTCGTGTTAAAGTAACTCAAAACGTGTTGTCTCCAGCTGAACACACTGATGTGTTTAGTTAGAGACAGAAGAGTGTGGATCTTGGAGGAACTATTTTTGTTGCATAATGAGAAGAGCATTTTTTAAAATTTAAACAATCTCAACATGCAAATGTTCTATATCAACTGAAGGTTTTCGCCAGAACTGTGGGACTTGGTGATCAGGTTCAGGTAAAACACAAACCTGTGAAGGACAACCACACGTCTGATACTGAAACACTGACTTAAAGCATGGTGGAAAACCCTGCTGTTGGACATTTACGACCCTGAAGCAATTATGTCCAGCCTAAAACCTGAACCAGTTAATAAAGATTTTAGTGGATGAGTATCAGAGAAACATGCACTGGAACTAAACTCTGCAAGGCGGTAGACCTTCAGAAAATGGACTGGGCACTGCTGACCTACAGCATTAAATAAACACCCACACAGTTTTGGATCAAGATCCACAGTGTTGAATTAAGACCAGTACAGTTTTGGAATAACACATTTACGGTATATGACCTGCAGTGGCGTTTTAATATATACAGTGCTGAATTAAGGCCTACACTGTTAAAACAACACTGTATAGTTCTGGCTTTCAATTAAAATCAGCAGTGTTGAATAGATACACTGTGGGCTTAAGATCTGTAGTGCTGAATTAAGACCTGTATGGTGTAGACTTACATTGTTGGATTATGACCAACAGTGTTCACATCCATCTAGACATACTGTGACCTGAGGGGGTCCTCACAAGAAGCATTGACAACTCAAGGTTCTGATCCATAACTCAGCTTTGCCTGACTTTGCTTAACTTAGTGTTCCCCTGGGTCACCAAGGGATGTTGCAAGGACTTCAAAGCTGCTGGGGCAATGCCAGGGAGCCTGGAGTGGTTCTCTGTATGGTGGAAGAACATTGGTTGGGTCCTGGGGGGATTCATTCTGAAGGTCCCTGGTGCCCACCAGCTCTTCCCTAGCTGGTGGTGTCCCCCACAGGGAACGAAGGCCACACTGCCAGGGAGCCCCAGCTCTCTGCTTCAGCTCTGCTGTTAGCCACCACTGCCAGCTTCACTTGTCTCGTCTCCAAGCCTTCCTTCCATTCTTCACAGCAGAATAACAAAATAACAAAATAACCTAAAAAGAGGGTTCAGAAACATTTTCTTAACAAACTACCCTATTATTTTAAAACTAAACTTATTATAAGGAAGGCTGGCTCTGTTGTAGGAGTCAGGCTGCACTCTTTGGAGGTTGTGGCAGAACAAAGGACGCTCAACAAGCTGTTAGCCATCTTGGACAACAGCTCACACCCCCTGCAGGCTACACTGGATAAACAGAGAAGCACATTCAGTGGCAGAAGGTTACAGCTGCGCTGAGTTAAAGATTTTTTTTATTTTCTGCATAGTATATGTAAGTTTATGTGCAATTATATGTCTTGTTCCTGAAACACTGCAATTTCCCTTTGGGATGAATAAAGTTCCATCCATCCATCCATCCATCCATCCATCACAGACATGATCTGATGCCACAATATAACTGTAGGAGTGAATTCAGTACAGAGGATTTTGCTGTTTAGAGATTGGGATTATGATGCTGGACTAAATACACTCACAATAACAGTTTGGCTCATTGTCCTAGTTTAACGCTTTCCTGCCTGACTCGATAGATTTTAATATAACTACTGCATCTTGTTTTGTTTGATGACAGCCTTGCAGGCATTTATTATCAAAGATGTCACTGTGCTTTGCCATCACCTTGCTGTACTTAAAATTAATACTCTGTTTCATCTTCAGCTAGCTTTCCCTTTTCCCCATGGGATAACCTGTACATGCTGTAGGCATTTATCTCTGAGTTGTCATGCAACACACATAACAAACATTATTATTATTTTTTTTTTCTGAGACACAATGCATATTTGATTAGCAGAGGTCTTTGTCCTGCACCTGGATCCCTAGGTGTCTAATTAAAGCGAATCAGAGTCTCAAACTTACCCTGCCAGGCAACATATATATGCCACAACTACAGCAGTAATGCATGCATTAATACAGACGTTTGCACCTTATGTTAATTCCAAAACAAAAATATGTGCTTTTATGGTAAATGAAAGCATACATTAAGTAAAAGACTGTAGTTTCCAACAGCTATTTAATAATTAATGTGTTTCATATATATATATATATATATATATATATATATATATATATATATATATATAGGCATTATCAATCAAAAATTTATTTTATTAAATTTGCTTGATGGAAATATATGTATTACTTGCCAATTGAGGCAAATTATTATAATTATCGCATAATTATTGCTTTAATTAATTCATTGTTTTTTTTTTTATTATTTACATGCTTATGGTAAATAAAAGGGCAACTTTGGTGACTACCTACCTGACGCTGCAGTGCGGTTGCCATGGGGACCAGCGCAGTTTCCATACAACTCATTCGAAACAACACTGCAGTTCCCTTACTGAATCGTTAGATTCAGTTGGATTTGTGAATCGGTTGCACTGATTCATTGAAAAGAATCAGTTCACATGCGCGATTCGTAAACAAACATTGCAGGGCCAGAGTTAATCACCAAGAATCACAAATATATAGCAAATATATATATATATGTAAGTTACGACACGTAACGTAAGTGCAGTCGATGTCATGGCTAGCCTTTCTGTATGTGATGCAGACTGTTTTGATTTAGTGTAAACCTTAACTCATTAACTTACACACTCTAATTAGCCTACATTTTAGTATATCCACACCTGACTAGCCTAGATAGATACTGCACGTTTATAATCCATTAACCTTGAATTACTAATCCTTGCTCTTAACATTGACGTTATAGAATAAATAATTTCTGTTATTAAGACTAGACTAATATTTGTAGGCCTTTTCAGTGGATCAGAGCTAAAGTTAGCCAGCTAATGCCAAGCTGGCCCTTGTGCTAGTAACGTTCTAGGAACGTGGGACATCATAACCACTCACCAGTGACAAGTGACAGGCTGTTAGTTTAAATTAAATCGGTTCCCACTATTTGAGGAAATAAATAGTTAAAAGTTAGCTTATCTGTTTACCTACCAAGTCTCAGCTTGAGTGGGACACTGCTTGTACATTTAAAATGCATTATTAATGGTCCATTAACAAAAGCTGATGTAAGGTTAATGGTGGTGAATTTTAATTTCAGGTTGACTTTACATAATATGATAAGATGTGCTTGATTCGACTTTTATCAAATCATAGAGACGTAGAACCTATTTATTTATTTACTTACTCACTTATTGTCTTGCATTTTATACGAAGGTGATGAGAAGTGAGCCAACTAACAAATCAATTGAAATTCGATTCATTGAATCAGACAGTTCAATTCACTGAAACGAGCAGTTCGTTTCAGTAAAAGAATCGATTCCTGAAAACTGAATCGGATCTCCCTTCACCATCACTAGAGATCCAGCAGGTATCCACCTAAAAGCTGTGGAAACAGCAGCGCAGCTCCACTCAGGTCGGCACAGCAGCGCCGTGCCCTCGAGCCCTGCAGGCCCCTTTACTCCCCGTCCCCAGCACCGCGATGCCCGGAGCCAGAACGAGTCTGCAGGCGCAGCCCGCCGTAAAGAGCATCATGGTTTACCGGAACGGGGAAACCGGCCGCGGGCCGCGCCGCGTGGTCGTGCACGAGAAGCGCGTGAGCAGCCTGGAGGCGCTGCTGCGCGATCTGAGCGGAGGCACGCGGAGGCTGCACACACCGCACGGCCACAGAGTGGGGGCGCTGCAGGACATCCAGCACCGCGGCGCCTACGTAGCGGTGGGACCAGAGAGCTTCAGAAAAATAGAGTGAGTTACAATGTTTAAATATTTGTATTCTGTTTGTAAATGCACTGCAGGCCAAAAGTTTTAAAAAAAATCACTAACTTTGTAAAAATAAACATAGTATAAATAGTAGACACTGATATGTTTCTCAAAAAAATGAAAGAGTTTTATTGAATGTCTGCAGCAATAGTGTACAACTGATATCTAAAATATATTTTCCCATCTGATATACTACATTAAAAGTATAAAACCAATGGGATAATTTGGAGGGAAAAAGTATTTGGCTTGTTTTGGTAAATTGACTAAGTTATTTTTGAAACTTAAAACAGTCATTGCTTACTTTTGGCATGTGGTGCAAGTCATATTTATGTGTGTCTAGTCATAACATCATATATATTTATTTTTATGTCGATAAGATGTATGTATATTTTAATGGATATGTCTACTCATGTAAGTTTGTTTAGATGTGCCTCTACATATGACTATCCAAAGGTTTACATATATGTGTATGTAAACATAATTGAAGGTTAGGGCTTTCATCATCATCATCATCATCATTGTCGTTAACCGCTTAGTCCAGCTAGGGTCGCGGTGGTCACGGCTTTCAATAATAGCTTTATTAAATAAGTTGTTAAGTCTGTTTGAACACCTCACTCTCAGTAGAATAATTACATTTTTTATTCTTTTTCAGCTATTTGCAAACAGGAAGTAGGAATAAACAAACTCCTCAGAGCAATGGAGTGGTAAGGACAAACATCTGCTTCGTTGACATTACAACCCATCCCCCAGTTATTCTTGTAGTATACATATACAATCTGGTCCCTGATTTGTTTGCAATCTGCTGTCAGTGTAATAGCTATAAGATTTGCAACTATTTTGCTCTCAAATGTAAAACAGCAACAACAGTGTAGAGAGTCATAAATGCATCCTTAGCTTTCAGCGTTTTGTGTTTTCGAATGTAATTGTGCTATTTGGCTTTTTCCTCATCAGTTATTCTAAATCATTCGAGAATCTTCACAAGCACTTTTCTCATGCTTGCTTATGTTACTTATTTGTCTGGCAGTGTGACACACTGCACCTGCAGGACTGTTCAAAGAAACCCACCTGAGCGAGGTGTAATGTTTAGACAGCCGTATCCTTTATCGGCTGGAAAGAATCACTTTGTTGGCAGCTCAATTGCCGATTAATTATTAATCTGTGGATTATTATCACCCTACTTAGATGCATATTTAAGTTAAGCGCTCAGCTTTAGTGCCCAAACAAAGGCCTTCACAGACAATGACATGACAGGTCATCAGTCCATAGCTCATCCTTCCCAGAAAAAAAGAAAAGGCACTTCAGTACATTTAAGACAGGATTTTATATACACTGTATGACCCAAGTTTGAGGTCAAGCAGTGTATATAAAGCGTTGCTAAATGTTTTTAATACACATGAGCTTGTTTTCTTTGTCAGTTTGCAGTAAAATAACATAGTAAAGACTTATAAGGTTCAATTTTAGAAAATGATTATCATGTGTATATTTGTCTAAATATTTATGACAGTACTAATTTGAGAATAAAGCCATAGCCCACATATTTTATCACCTTGTTGTAATGTGACCACTCATTAGCATTTAGGCCTGGTACTGCTAAATTTTTATACATATACCTTGACCTCACATTTGATAAACTTAAAATAATAGACACCATTCTAGGACTGGTTAGGCAGGTCAAAAGTTGTCACTGTGGAAGTCCAGATGTGGAAGTCCAAGAAATCTCTCCAATAGAAATGTTCATATGCTGGCCAGAAAGGCAAAGCAAAGTCCCCATATGACAGCAAAGGACCTGCAGGAAGGTTTAGCTGATACAGGAGTGCACTGCCTTACTGTGCAGCATACTAGCACAAACATAATTTACATGGAAGAGTCATCTGAAAGAAACTTTACCAGCAATCTCATCACAAGTGCCAATGTCTGAGGTATGGAAAAAAATTTAGATAGGCCAGAGGCATTTTGGTCAAAATGACTGTGAACTGATTAAGTAAAAACTGGAACTCTTTGGCCACAACACCAACGATCTGTTTAAAGAAAAGGAACAGAATTTGATGAAAGGCACACTTTTCAACTGTAAAGCATTGGAGTAGATCTATTATGCTTTGGAGTTGTGTGACAGCCAGTGGCACAGGACATATTGCACAAGTAGATGGACGAATGGAGTTCACTAAATATCAGCAAATTCTGGAAGCAAGTATGACACAGTCAGTCAAGCTGACTGAAGCTGAAAAGAGGCTAGTTTCTACAACAGGACAATGGTCTAAAAAAATTATCAAGCACTACTTCAAGAAACTTGAGCTTGAGCTTTTGGAATAGCCCTCACAGCATGGGTGAAATGCCCAAAACAACAATAAAAATATTCCTAGCTGGCAAAAAGGCATTTGTAAGCTATGATACCTGCCAAAGTCAGTACTTAACCCCCTTAAAATCTCAGTCTTATGACAAAACCTTTTAATGGCTAATTTATTTGATACATAATTCAAAAGTAACAATGAGAACATTTAAAAACGAAGGCAGACTGTCCCCAAAATCTGACAGGAAGTGTATATTCAGGGATTTTTGTGGGGTAAACACAGTTAGCTCCTTCTTCAGAAGGGCCATAAAGTTGCCTTATTAAGCAGTTTTATTTGTGGAGAGCTCTGGAGCGTTTGCCCTTGTAACTGACAATCAGAACCTTGGACAAGGACCTTCTTAATGGCTTCAATTAGTGCAGCGCTGCTCCCTTTTTTAAATCTGCACTGAGAACCTGGCCCTTTTCCCAAGAGCACACTATTCTCTCCCTCTGCTCTGAGCTGTATGCAGACTCCTCGCAGCGTTGCTAAGGGATACTGCCGGATCCCAAGAGACACTGAAACAGTAGATGCAAGCAATTATTTGCCAGTGCTGGAGGCTAAACAGGGCTAGGCCCTGTAACACGCACCCACACAAACATACTTAAGGGTGTGTGTGACTTGAGGGTGACCCTGACAGCCAAAGACAAGGTTTCAGACTTCATTTGGTTACAGGATGTTCAGAGGAGACACACTGCTTAATCAGCTATTCAGATGTCTAGAACTCTCTACAGTGTGCACACAGTTATAGATCACAACTTTTATAGATTCATAGAGTTTTATCTGTTATAAAGTTATAATTTAAACAGTTCAGACTGCAGCATTGTGGTCATTTCTGCAGATTAGATGTACTGATGAATTAGTGAATGCCGATTTATTGGGGTTTATGTCAAATTCAAGTCTATTCGAGTGTCATTTTATATAATGCAGATATTTTTTCTGGCCTGTGCCCAGTGAAAAATACATAAATAATGATATTTATGAAACTGCCTGGATTTAACCTACTACACCTACTCATGCTGGTTTTTACTACTGTATTTGCTTTAAGACAGTTGGACAGTAGTAACACACATAACACCTGGTTGTTTTTTGTAACTAGTATCTGGACTGTATCCTGATAAGAGTTTAGCCACATGCATTTACACTTGGTAGTCATATGTGTCTCCGGTTAGTTGGACTGAAATATAATTGCTGTGTGGGACAAAATACGCAAACCTGCTTGTTATGCAGCAACCAATTATCAATTGTTTAGCTCAAATATTTCAGGGTTCCTGTAAGTCGTCTGCAATTTGTTTTTCACAGTAGCTTCTGTCTGTATTGCTGTTAAGCATTTCGTTTCGTCTGGTCCCCAACCATGTGTGTCCTTTATGATTATCTTCTTTGCAGACTTGGATCACATGCCCAGTGACATACTGCATGGGAAGGAGTTTTGGTTGTACTGGGAAGGGTTTTGGTTGCACTGGGAGGGGTTTCAGTTGTTAAATGAGTAAAAAGATGTGTTTACACTGCTATAACGTGGCTCAAAAGCATCTCAGACCACTGCCTGAAGTTGTATTTCTTTTAGATGAGTCTTAAGTGCGTTTACACATTTTTATGTGGCCTGGCCTTATCCAGGTATAATACTGATACTAAAGTCATATGAGGACATAGGGGGCAGTCGTGGGCTGAAGGTTAGGGAACCAGCCTTGTGACCGGATGGCTCGTGACTGAAGTGCTCTTGAGCAAGGCACCTGACCCCCAGCTGCTCCCCAGGTGCTGCGGATAGGGCTGCCCACCACTCCGGGCAAGTGTGCTCACTGCCCCCTAGTGTGTGTGTTCACTAGTGTGTATATGGTGTTTCACTGCATGGATGGGTTAAAAGCGGAGGTGAAATTTCCCCGTTGTAGGACTAATAAGGGTCACATATTATTATATATGAAGTGACCAGATGTAAACAGGGCATAGAATCACTGTAACCAAGGACAGAGCCAGCAATGAAAAAAAGGCTGTTTACATGCGTTTTTTGGTGATTGGATCATCTTTAGATTTCACTTGCATGAAAAGCCAGACTTAAACACACCCAGGACGCATTGGCATTAAGATTGGAAACCACATTCAGAGGTGATCAGAGATGGGTCTTGATCACACTCAACACTAGTGTAAATCATGTTGAATGTGGAATGCGTTACCTATCCACATGCAGTTACTTAAATTTTAACTTCTCGCTCATGTCCAAAAGGTTCTTTAAACACTAGTGACGCTAGTACAGCAGCTGTATAACAAAACCTTCTCTGCAAATGCAGATGATTTGTTGCCTGTTTCAAAAGGCTTCTTCTGATATTTGACCGGGTATAACCGCTGGTAGTAACAAGTGGGAAACCATGTTTACGGTAGGTTACCAGAAATTAATGATTTGCTTTTAAAGCAGGAAAGTAAAATCGTATGCGGTCACTCTGGGGATGTATTTTAATGAAAGTGAAATGGAATCCAGACAAAGTAAATATACATATGATCTAGACATGAAACACATGTTAATGCAAGGTCTAAACAAGCCCATAAAAATGACTGTCATAATAATACCAGCAGGATTCCTGATCATTCTGTTTACAACTAACATGTTTACTGGGGTTAATATGCAAATTGCAGATGTTTTGTTTCCTGAGTGATGCTGAACTGTATTCTTGTGAAAGGTGAATCATTAATAAATGCAACCATAATGTCAAAGAGAGGTGACCTTTTTTGGCAGTTGATTGGCTTGTATTGTACAGACTTCTTGCATCTTTTATCTTGATAGGTGAAACCAGTGCCTCAAAACCGTATCAACGTTTCAGCCAGATTCCTCAAGCCAATCAAAGAGCCATGTACAATATTGTGAGTATCTATTATTTGTGCAGAATTCTCAAGTTTTTCATGTAAGACAAGGGCTCAACGCTCAACATGTGCTGCTTTCGAGACAGAGTCACTGGGATGAACTCAAAATCAAGTTTCTTTAGGGGGTTTAAATGTGCGTTCACTGTTATGTATATTTCTTTAGTTGGTCATTGAGATGTGACGGGTATGTGTGTCTGTATTAGTTAATATTTGTCGTAAATGGAGGTGTCACTAATGAATGAAAATTGTAGCTCATAGTCACTATGTCTATATGATAAAATTGTAGGTACATATATCTTCATTCTGGCAAATGTTTTTGTATTTTAAAGCTGTATCAATTGGATTGGATTTTTCTCTTTGTGCTTGTGTGTCTGTGTCAGTGTTGTAGCGAATGGAGACGTGTTGAATCCAGCAGTGAGATTTCTGCTTCCACATCGTATTCTGGGTCAGTTTGAGCGGATCCTGGAGATGATTACTGAGAAGATGGGGCTGAGGATTCTGGGAGGAGTGCACAGGTAAGATGGTGCTTTAACTACTGCGCAGGGTGGAGACAAACCTGCTCAGCTTGCTTCTAGAGAATGTATATATAAATATACATAAATATCCAGGAATATTCATTAAGTGGTTCCCACAGAAGGTATCAATATGTTACATTAAGCTGTAATAACACTTTTTGCTTTTTGTAGCATATTTGACATCATTAACTATATGTATTCTGTAGAATCTGTAATTTTCTCATATAATACACAAAAAACGAAAACAAATTTGGAAGAGAAAGGGTCTATTTCATTGGTAAGTAAACTCTGTTTTCACTGTGTGATTTGTCTTTGCTAACTGAGCAAATTTTATTTATTTATTTATTTATTTATTTTCTCAGTCTATATACATTTGATGGCATCTCTGTAACGGATGGAAAGGACTTGGAAAATGGCCAGTTTTACGTTGCGGTGGGCAGAGATAAGTTTAAGAGGCTCCCCTATGCTGACCTACTGTTCACTAAGCCCATGGGCATGAGGAGAGTTGTCGGGTGAGATGAACCTGAGATAAACCTGAAGAAACTGTGCAGAATTTTGTATAATAACGAATTCTGTGTCAGAATTTGTGCCAGAAAACTTATGATTGACATTAACATATTTCAATCATTTCTTATGTACTTCTGAAAAAATCTGTATTTGTAATCTGTAATTGTGATACTTTTTCAGATCAAAAGCAGCGTCCCTACCCCCAATATATGGATTTAGAAGACAAAATGGAGATGTAAGTTTGCCACAATGCAACATAAGCACAAAACTCACAAAAAATATTATTATTGTTTAATATTGACCAAACTTTCATGGTTCTGCACTATAGACCACTACTCTTTATAGAGTTCACACACTAAACACTGAACCTTAACCTGAAAATAAGTAGCATTTACTTTTTTTAATTTCAGTGGTTTTTTTTTGGTTTTTTTTGTCTTTTACTAATAATTGTAGCTTTTTTTTAACTTTTTAACTTTTAAATTTTTTACCCATTAGCTTGATGGCTACTTTTCTAAGCACACTAGCCTCAGTTACCTGTGTTTCTCAGCCTGAGAAAGAGAAAAAAAGTGGTCACCTTTAGAAACGAATCACTACCATCAACATTTAAACATGCGGCAAGCAGTACAATAGTCCCAGGTGACTTACAGGATTCAAAACATTTTGGAACATTTTGGCTTTATCATTTATTTTGCTGCTTTAGCATGCAGTAGAGTTTCTAAAAGCAAATTTGCTGTCTCTTAATGCCCCCTGAAAGCCTAGTAATTTTTGTGCTGTATCTTATATTTAAATGCATGCACAAAAAATAGAAAAAAGTGCAGTTTTTGAGGAAAAATGTTTGACTGTTCCTGTAACACAGATTCTTTATAGCAGTATGTTAAAAACGATGATTGAACGTAGATCTAATTTTGGGAGTGTCTATACTAACTAATTTGATTTCAGTTATTATACTAAAAATGTCCTTTGTATTAATATGTTAGTGTTAACACAAATTAGAAACAATGTATTTTTACCTATGAGCAGATGTCTCACACCTTAAAGAGAAACGTTTTGTCTCACTATCAGCTGGGAAACCGCCTCAGTAAGTCGACCGCAGGTTGTGGTGACTCTGGGGAGTCGAAGACCAGTCCACCAGCCCATAGCACCAAACAGCCACTTTACTCTTTGGTGCGAGAGATCTCCCAGGCCAGACTTGTAACTCTTCGGAAAAAACGCAGCGGACTGACGATGTCCCTGAGTGCCCAGGAGAATGGTAAGATGTTGTGTATAAGTGACTTAAGCATTAGCTTATTAGATTAGTTTATGGACACATAAGTACAGGATAAAGTGTCTGTCTATTTCCTCACATTACCACAGATAGCCAGGAGGTAGACTTCTTCATTACGTGACAAGTGCAGCTTTCCATAACAGTAAATGCTGTTCATTAGCAGCTTTTGTGATATTACCATGAGGACAGTTGGAACACAACTCTTAACTACCGAGGGACTTCCAGGTTCAGGCAGGTACAGAAGGTTGTTCACTCCAGAATCATTACTTAACAGGCTAATGCAAGAATTGTCTATTTCTGCCATTTAATGCTGTTGTTATAGTTATTTAATATGTAAATAATGTGATCTAACAAGGCCAAAACAAAGATTTTTATTTAGTTTGTCAAAAATAGGAAGAACAAGAAAATGCATGAATAAGAATATGTAAAATATCAGTCACATTTTTATCAATTTATCATTAACCAAGTCAATAACAAGCACTTACTGATCTGAATTGCCCTCTGAAAAAGCTTGTGTGCTCGCTCAGAAAATAATCACATTAATAATCGCAAAGACACCTTATGCATCTTTTATATAGTGATAGAAACCACAGTAGCACAAAAAAACTCTGATTATAAACACTGATACATTTTTCTGTGGCCAGTGTGGACATGCACGTGCTGTAACTCCTCAGGGAAGATTTAAACAAGGTAAAGGGGACAGTGGCAAAGTCTCAGAATGTCTCACTGATGAGCCATTTGGTATGATACAGTTAAACTGCCAGGTCGGGTTGTTGATGTGGTCCTTAATCAGCTGCAGACGTACTATTATTTTCTCCGTCCTGTTCTGCTGGAGTCACATCCAACACTGCTGATCAAGCCTCATGATGATCTAGAACAAATGGCAGATAAATGGAGTCTAGCTGTACTTATATTCACTGTCTGTTTTATTAGAAACCTTGTAGCTCCCCTCTTTGCTGGTGCACAGTTAGAGACTCTATATCTCTAAGTGCTCATAACTAGATGTACAGTTTCTGTTAGCTATCCTCTAGCCCTTCATTAACAGTATGTTTCTGGCCACAGAGCCACTTTTGGCTGGATATTTTTCAGGTGGTAGACCACTCTCAAACTAGCATTAATGTGTGTAAAAAAACCCACAGCGACTGTCCCCTCTAAAGGCGCATTTATACTCCCTTTACATATGAAAAAGAATAAGTACGTTTCAAACTATGTAACCATCACTGTCCACATACCTCCATGCGCCTTTACATTGGCATGGATGTTAAGCACTAGAGGGCAGTCCAGAGTTTCTGACAACAACAGACTTGGCAACGGTGGAGGAGGTTGTAGTAATGTACCAACTACAAAAGAGAAGACAGAGGCATTAGTGTAGACTGGTGGTCTATGAGGCCATTAAATACTTTGTGACATGTGGAAGGAGAATACTTTTGACTTGTATTACCAGTGAGAGAAATTGGCATCGTGTGTTGCATAAACTATTGGCTATGCCATTGGCATAAACTATTGGCTACTGCTCCATTTCATCCATATCCATAAACTATAATAGAACATGCACAAATACAGACAAAATGAACAGAGGGCTCCGTCCATATCTGTATTTAACATTGAGCATAAAGGAGTCTTTACCAGTGCCACAAACACTACTGTGTCAGTGAGTGCCTTTACATACACTTAATAATCCAATCATAATACGATCTAGTAATGTAATTATTCAAGCGGCCATGTAAAAAGGATATGGAGAAATCTGATTAAGAAATCTGATAAAGAGAGTTGGATTTTAGCTCAGTAATTGGCCTTTTCAGCACAGGTATATCCTTACTCTGATTTCTTTCGTTTTTCTCAGTCTGCGCATATGCAGAAATAGCAAGCAGCGTTTAACCCAGAATCTGTGAGATGGCAATAAGACACTTTTGAATAAGACTAAAATCAAATACATGCTTGACAAAATGAAGAATGTAATATTCTTCATCTTCTAAATGATGTATTTTAATTTTTTCCATTAAAGTGAGTTGTTGTTTTAAAAACCTACGGCATGCCATTTGAGTTTTATGTCATGTTTACATCATGTTTTCATCTGTGAGTTTATTGGCAGGTTGCAAAGCAGAAATACAATTAATGCCTGACTCATGCATACGCAGCGTTTTCCCATTATCTGATTATCCAAGTGCATGTAAATGCATTGAAGTGGATAAAATCTGATTTTCCATGGTTATCAGATTATTAAGTACTTGTAAACAAACTCATTGTCACTGCTCAGCCCAACAGATGGGCTTGAGTCTGTAATTGTACACCTAGTAGAACTATAAGCTTATAAAGTGGCCAAGAAGTTGAAGTACAAGGTAGGGATTTTTAATAAATTGGACAGTGAATATATAGATGACGATGTGGAATGACAGATTTTATATTTATCACAAGCTGAAATTATGCAACAGTATATTTTTAGCCTTGACTCATGTAAGTGCAGACAGTAGAAACCTTTCCACCTACATATGGTCTCATAGTTATGTTTTAACTCCGTGGACACTGAAATAATGCCAAGACTGACATCATTGTATATATAGAGCATCACATTTGACAAGTACATTGGCATCTTTCCTCCCCCTCTCGCTCTTTCTCTCTCACTCTCTCTCTCCCACTCCACCCCCTCTCATTTTTTATTTCATTTCATCTCTTTCTCTCTCTTACCCACCACCCTCTCCAAACCCATGATGTAATTCATGTGTGTTTCTATAACTCATTCTGACCTCAGGATGGCGCTGTTGCTTTGTGCTTTTTTGGACTTGGCAGTGTCACTGGGTGCATGGTGGTGTGAAGAGCATTACATCATCCTCAGCCTTTCTCTCATCATCATCATCATCATCTCCATGCTTCCTTAGACACACCCCCTTCACACACACACTCACACATGCTGTCACCGTCTGAGGTGTGAGAGACCAGCTCAACACTCCCCCCTTCCCATATCTCCTCACAGACATGACATTTAGGAAATCACACAGTGGAACACACTCAGAGTTCCAGTAACAGTGCAGGCTTTAGTTGTTTTTTAAAGCCTTATTATTCTTATACACAGCTAAGCTGTGATAAAATGTAAGGGGATTTTCATGTACTTGAATGCTGCTACACAACAAAAGCATCTTAGAAACAGTGGTGTGCGTGTGTATATGTGTGTGTGTGTGCCTTCATTAACACCTCAAGTGGCTGATGGGACTCTATTAAATCTCCATGGCAATGAAGTAAACACTCCTTAACGTGCGCCGCTCCTCCAGCCTCTAACAATTCCCAAACTGCACACTGCCATCTGTACACCACTTCTAGAGGGAACTTGGGTTTGGTTTACACATTTAGAGACTGCACTGTAGCAGGGCTGCACAATTTATAATTTATTAGTTATTATTGCAATATTGACCTTTGTAATAATGATGTTGCAGAAGTCTGCAACATGCAAATGAGCCATCTAACCAATCACTAAATGTGTAATTGTGTGCTGTGAGCATCCTAACCATCTGAGACATTCCAGATAAATTTATGTGGGCATTTTGTTGAATCAAAGTATTTTCATGATTTAACACATTCTAATAATTTTGGTCAAAATAGCGAAGGCTAATCTTTAAAGAAGTGCAGTTTGCACAATTTCCCACTTACCTCAGATGTAGTTTATCAGCTGCAAAATATTTAGTGTCCAAATTTTGCTTGTTTAGTAACAAACAATAGAAGTCAATGATCACCCAAATCTTTTCAGTAAATACATCCACAAAACTTCTCTCAACTTCAAACTGCACGCAGACTCGTTGATGTGGTCTAGTGCATAGTACGGCTTACTGTGAACTAAAATTAATAAACTTTACCATGTAGACGAACACACTTCATGCAGGCATGTGGATGCTAGATTAGTTTTGCAATTTCTGTTGTTTTGGTTTTGAAACATATTATCAGTTAGAAAATTGCAGACATACTCTTGCCTGTGTGATGTACGTGTATAAAACGTGCAGTCAAGTTTCGCATAACATTTGTCGCCAGTTGCACAAACTGAACATCAGTCAGACAAGTTCAGTCGTAAGTTAGGGTGTAAATATCCTAAACCATATGTTGAGATTAGTAAGCTTAAAACTAGTGATGTAAAGAATTTGAGTGGCACCACAGACACTCAAGGTGCGTCGTAACTGGTAGTGCATAAAGTGAACCAATCGTTTTTGCACAGAATTTGCACATTTTTCACCATCTGCAACCATCAGTAACGTTATCTGACGCAAACAGAAAGTGCTACAGTCATAAACTTGACACAGTAAGGTAACTAACGTTCGTCAAGCAGTATTACATCTTTAATTCAAGTAAACTATTGGTTATTGATTCCTAACTATTGATAGGCTTTTTAAGTAATATTATGATCAAGCACTCCACCAAATAAAAAATAAGTAGTCAATTACACAAGTGTGTGAAATTTAGATATTGCTTTAATCACAGCACCAATGTAATAACAGAAATATATATAACTTTGTATATGGTAGATTAAGTGGCTGCCAAAAAATAAAAGATCAATGGAGTGAGTGAAAAATAAACTTAACCTCTGTTTCTGTTTCTCACCAGTAGTTTCTTGCACACTCTGACAACAGTGAGGCTTTTGGTGGAAGATATAATCGCTGGATTGAAAAAAAAGTTTGTGAAGTCTCGTGGGTCTGTTTTGCTGTGGCACTGTTTTGACACCCGCTTGTCTGTTGTCGTTCTGGTCTGCTGCTCGGGGTTCTCAGTGTGGAGGTATTCAAACTGGGATTGTTTTTCAACTAATTTAATGACAGAATAGCAATGGACCAAGCAAAGCAACTGCTAATTAATCTGCTTTTGAACTTGCTGAACACAGGAAAGTTAACTTTTTCTCATCCTTCAAATCCAAACCTTTCAAACAGCCATGGGAACATTTGTTTACGATGGGCTTTGCACCTATTAATGGGTAGTTATAACTTAAGGCTATGTTGAAACCATTTAAACGTTTAAATTTTAGTAGCTCCTAAACTCAAATGTAGGGGCAGTTATGCTCAAACTAGGCTACAACTGAACTTACGTTCAGCTTTTGCAACAGGTATGTCTGTAGTGTAAAGTAGCTGCTGTGTGGTCTGGTGATACAGT